GGGGGGGTGAGGTAAAGTCTGATATAGTTCTTAGACAGCTCACCCATGGGAGCTCTCGGCTGCCTTCCACTCAGAAAATAAGATCTTAACCACAGAAGTGAAGATAAAAAGGTGTGCTGGCTGCAGGAAAAAGGAAGTGTGAGCTGGAGTTAAGTGGACTGTATGTTTTTATTCCTGACACCTGCCTCAGAAGCCTGGACTTTTGGGGTTAGACGGAGGATTTATTGGTTATTCTCATGCAGGTGCACGACGGCAATTTTTGTCTTTTTCCAGGTGTAGAAGAGGATATGGGTTTATTTTTACTCCTACCCCACTTTTGTTTCCTGATATATATATATATAAACCCTGACATATAACATTGGCCTGTGATGATTCTGTAAGCAATCATTTAAAAAAAACAATTTAGGAGATGAAACATGTAACATGGGAAATATAGGTTTGAGGGCAAGTGAATTTGTTTGGACCTCCAGTGTGGATCAGTGCTGGTTCAATAGAATATCATGTTACTATAGTATATATATTTACACACACATATATATAAATATACATAAATATATATTTAAATATATATGTAAATATATATAAATATATATTTACATATATATTTAAAAAATACATATTTACACATGTATTTAAATATATAAATATATATTTACATATACATTTATATATATTTGTGTGTATATATAAATGCATTTGTGTTATTTGTACATATATAAATACATAACTATATGTGTATACATGTATGTATATATTTCTATATATATGTATGTTTGTATGTATGTATGTGTGGTTTATTGCTGTGTGAACGTGTTGTCACTCATAGGTGATTAACATACATAAATCCTTTTGGCCACCCGAGGGATTTGTACCTTATGTTGGACATCGTCCCTTACTGGCAGATGCAATCCAAATGTGTTTCATCTCTTTGGAGACATACAAACTGATAATATTTTTATACCCTCCCTCGTGCTCTTCAAATGCCCCCATCTCTCACACACCGTACACGTGCGATGACAGCGACACCTGGCGCCCTGCTCTTGACCCCTAAACAGACCACCCCCCCCCACCCCCTCCCCCTCTCATCTTGCTATTCTTCCCCCTGT